GCTCCAGCTCCTTCCTGCAGTCCTTCCCCTCCCGTTGCAGGGCTCTCTCCTCTTCCACGTTAGACTTCTTTTCTCTTTCTGCTCTCCTGTGGCTAAGGGATTGGCAAGCCCTGGAATGCCTGCACCAGAGAATCTTCTCCCCTCCCAGGTGGAACATTAGCACCTGTAGGTTGAGTCAGGGAGGAGGAACCACCGGCAGGGCCTGGGAGCCCATCAGGTGGGGCCACAGCTCTTCCCTCTGGCACCACAGCGTCTGCAAACAGCCTGCTGGGCCGCTGTGTGAGCAGCTCGGTCTTCATGTGGCTGCACAGCGTGGGCAGTGGTGGACACCCGGACTGTGTGTCTTGTGGAGAGAGCTCTAGCACACTAGCTGTCCTTAATCCAAACTCGGAGGCTCCTTACCTAGAGAGCACTATGCTAAGTGGAATAAGTCCAAGGGAGACAAATATTGTGTGATTTCACTTACAGGTGGACTCTCAAAAAAAAAAAAAAAAAAAAAAAAAAGACAAACAAAAAACCCAAACTCATAGCTACAAGAGAACAGGTGGGTGTTGCCGGAGGTGGGAGTTGAGGAGTGGGTGACAAGCGTAAGGGGAGTCTGAAGGCACAAACCTCCGGTTATAAAGTAAGTAAGTCCTGAGGCTGTGATATAGAACATAGTGACTATAGTTACCATTACGATATATTCGAAAGTTGCCAAAAGAGTAGATCTTGAAAGTGATGAGTCACAAGTAAAAAAATAATTTAAGTCTACGAGGCGATGGGTGGTAACTAGACTTACTCCGGTGATCATTTCGCGATATATACAAATCTCAAATTGTTACATTGTCCTCCTGAGACTAATACAATGTTATATGTCGATTATACCTCAATTAATAATAATAATAATAATAATAATGATGGGGCGCCTGGGTGGCTCAGTCGGTTGAGCTCAGGTCATGATCTCACGGTCCGAGAGTTCGAGCCCCGCGTCAGGTTCTGTGCTGACAGCTCGGAGCCTAGAGCTGCTTCGGATTCTGTGTCTCCCTCTCTCTCTACCCCTCCCCCGCTCATGCTCTGTCTCTGTCTCTCTCTCTGTCTCAAAAATCAACATTAAAAAAATTTAAAAAAAGAAATAATAATAATAATAAAATTTGGGGATCCCTTGCTGAAGGGATAGAGGTTCTGTGCATGTGAAGACCTAAGCTTGGAGCTGCTAGGGAAACGTTTCAGGAAGTGTTTTCCCTGATAGCAATGGCTCTATTTTAAGCTAACTTGTAAAATTCTAGAATGAAAAACATTATATCATAATGGGTTTTGGTGGAATATAGTCATAGGCTCAAATCTCACCAGCTGAGGGATTCTCGAGCAAATTACTTAAACTTTCTGACCTTCAGGTGTCTTTTTATCTCTTTTCAGAAGGATTAAGTGAGAAAATGGATTAACCTGTCATGTATAGGTGATGTTAGCTTCCACCCCCAGCCTAAGGACATGCATGATATGATTCCATGAGTGAAGGTAACAGTGGCAAACCTGAATAAAGCCTGGGGAGCATGCTGAGTGACACTGACCAAGTCCCCTGGCCAGGGCTGGAGCACTTCCTCCCCAGCTGCAGGGGTGTTCAGGAGGTGGGGTGGTAAGCAGTGGAAGGGGCGTGTGCTAGAGACATAGTGTATCAGGCATCCGAGAACTAAAAAACAAAGGATAATTATAGGGATGATGGGGCCCCATAACTATTGCTGGGGGCTATGATGCTGTCCAGAAAGTAAGAGAAAGACTAAAATTGATTAGTTATCAATTAAAGGCAAAGTATGAAATCCAGAGGGCCTCCTTGAAAGGGCCTCCTCTTTCAGCTGGAGGACAGAGGAACTGAGTTTCAGGGCCACAGCATGATCACAAGAGGAATAGAACTGCAGAGAAGGATGAATTCTCAGTGTAGGCATGTCTGCTATTCTGAGGTCAGTGTCCTGGTTGGGAATGACTGGAGCCTGAGATTTGAGGTACATACACGTGGTTCAATTAATTTGAAACTCTTGAGCCCCTATGTGCCCTTGAAAGATCTGGTCTGCTCTTTCCAGGTAAAAGCTAGTTTTTCTCCCTCCCCTGAAGATCATGCAGAGACAGTCACCGCACAGGGGAACATGCGTCCCTGATTAGCAACTACCACACCTTTCCCACTGGCCATTATGCTAATAAATAGGTTTAGTTTGACATAAGCAGCTGGGTAAATTGTGACCTAAACCTGGTCATTAGCATAAAATGGCCAGTAGGAGAGGTGGGGTGTATCTTCCTCTCAGAGGAGATGTAGGACTTAACAAAAAATACCCCTGGAGCCAGGAGAGAACATATAGGTCTTGATTCTAAATGTGCTGGATGAGAGGTACATGTGGTGGGCAGACATGAAACATAAAGTTAGATAAGGGAGAGGTTACTGACGTGAGAGCCTTTCCCTGTTGCAAGGATTTGATATCCTGGCAAGGAACATAGAAGATGATGCCACTTCCATGATGTTTTAGGTTGGCTCTTGGAAGCTCAACCAAAATAGAAGCCCCACTGTAGCTACTCTGCCAGATGTAAGATACTAACATAGCCTCAGATACGTGGTATATGGCCCACGATCTTGCAAGTGCATTCTTTTCCATCCCTATCGAAAAGAACTAAAAACATTTTGCATTTACTTGGAGCAGATAATGCAAGGCTATGTTCGTTCACCTACCCTCTGTCATATGATAGTCTGGAGGGAAATAGATTCTCCAGACATCCCAAGTAATATGGCATCGGTCCAATATATCAATGATATGATGTTGATCCATTCAAATGAGCACGAAGTAGCAAGTACATTGGAAGCCTTTGTGAGGCACATTTATGCTTTCCAGAGGTGGGATATAAATCTTTCAGTGACTCAGGGGCCTGCCTAAGCTATCAAGCTTTTAGGGAGTCTGTGGTCTGGGTATGTTGGGACATCCTTTCAATAGTCAAGAACAAATTATTGTATAGCACACCTCCCACTACAAAGAAGGAAATGCAATGCTTGATGGCCTTTTCTGGGTTCCAAAGACAGCATATTCTGCACTTGAGAATATACTAGAAGACATGTTGCCAGCTTTGAGTGTGGCCACAGCAAGAAAGATCTCTGTAGCAAGTAGCCATGTCTCTTGGGCCATATGACCATGTAGACCTCATGGTATCTGTTATGAAAAAACATGTTGTGTTGGGTTTATGGTCAGCCCCAATAAAAGAGTCACAGTTTAGACCCCTAGGGCTCCAAAGAATAGCCATGTCACCTGCAACAGAGAATGATTCATCATTTAACATTAGCTGATCATGGACATTAAGACCTGGCCACTATGAGATAGATTTTGTCAGACCCAGCAACAGTCCATCATAAAGCTGAAGAGGTAGGATTAGATACAGAGAGCCAAGAGCACAGAACACTGCATTTGCGGGTAGCCCAGACCCCTGTGTGATTTGCCACTGTTGTGCCCATGTGCTTCCTTCCTTCACTCTGGTTGTTGTTGGGGAGGGTCGCTTACAATCCACTGACAGAGGAAGGAAAAGGCTGCCCTGAATTCACAGGTGTGTAGGCTCAGTATATGTGCAAGGTGCAGGACGCGCCAGCCCCATTCCTATGCCCTGGAGTCAGCGGTGAGAGGCAGTCCTGCCCCCGGGCAGAGCTTTGGGCAATGCACCCAGTCATTCACTTGGGGTAAATACAGATTCCTGGGCAGCGGCAGAGGTCCTGGCTGATTGGTCAGGAGCTATGAGAAGAACACCTGAAGAATGGGGACAGGGACATCTAAGAAAGAGGTATGAAGACACACCTATGGGCATAGGTGTGAAGTGTGGAGGTCTTTATAACACACATGAATGCCAACAGAGATCTACCACCAAGAAGGCATTAAACAACCGAGGACACAGAATGATGTGGCCAGTCATCCAGTTGGTTTTGGGCACTAATACCCACTTTTCCCAGCATTGGAACAATGACCGTGTGAAGGAATACCCATGGTGGCAATTCCATGGGATGGAGGCTAGGCACGGGCCCGGCAGCATGAATCCCAACTCACCAGATCTAGCTACCACTGCACTGTTGCCACATGTCGAATCACCCAATGGAGACTGATGCCAAATCCCTGAGAGCATGAAGTCCTCAAGGAAGTCAACCAGTTACCCAATGGCGACAGATCCCATCAGCCTCATTTTACTGCTAGAAGATGCTGCAAATGATCTGAATGCAACCAACACATAGTCTGGATAGGAGTTTGTCTTTCCTGCATGCAGGGCTTCAGGCAACACCACCATGTGGGCACTTCTCTGTGTTAGACATTTGCATGCAGATAAATCCATTTAACTTTATAGAGCATGAACTGTATGTCCAGCTCTGTGCTAGGTGCTGGGGCTGCACAGACAGACAGGGTCTTACTCTCAGTTGTTGAATAGCTATTGTGGATTACTTTTGTCCCTGGGACATGATAGCAAAGTACCAGCACTGAAATGATTTCATGGGCTAACTAAGCAAATTCTGAGCTCAAGTGACTTCATCTTTCAGTGGCTAATTTGGGACTGGGCACCAGAAACTTCTCTTTTCTTTGACGATCTGACTCAAAGTATTTTCATCGATGTTGATCAGATAAACAAGTCTTGCTGGTAAGCAGCATCTTAAAGGGCACTTGATGAAGAAAACAAGATGGAATGAAGTGAATTGGAATTTCAGCTTTCTACCTTGTGGATGTGAACATCGCCTTCCCACCTGGAGTGAGTCTTATCTAGGGTGGGAAGTTTCGGGCATCTCTGCAGCAGAGAGGTCCCCTTTGCCACTCATCTCCCGTCTGGCTCCCCTGGTGCCTCTGTGAAGCCACAAAGTCCAGGCAAGTTTCCCTGGAGGAGTCAGGTGGCCTTCTGCGGCCACCTCCAGAACCCGTCCTGTCTGAAATGGACACAGTGATGGAGACTTCCTTCGACTCAAGCCCTCCAACCTGCAGCGGCCACTTCTCGGAGATGTACACGCAAATCACTTCCATATGGCGGTAACTTTCCACACCTGTTTCCTAGGAATAAATGCTTGTCGCCAGGAAGGATGAATAAGAGTGGCCACACTAGGATAGGATGGGAAAGAAAAGTGGATCTGTCTTAGTCCCTCTGTAAGCCCCAAACATCTACATTTGCCCAGGGACAGGCCTGGTTTTAATCACACTGGAGAAACCGAGTCACCTCAGTCCTCAGGAATAGTTAAAATCATCCCAGGAAAGCATATGAAGCAAGGTGAGGAGTGGGGTGGTGGCAAGATCAAGAGCCTGGTGGCTCTAAACTTTGTGCATAGCAGGGGCTTAGGGCAGCACCCCCCGCCCCATAGTGGGGGTTTGGAAGCACGCTGATCCCAGGGGGACGCTGCACTTCCACAGGCTTCCAGGCATTCGATGCAATCCGCAGATGGCCACAGGTCAAGAAATACAGAGATGTTTTGTGAATGCTTTTATTCACATAGATAAATGTGAATTTAATCCAGACCAATGGAGAGTACACTTCTCTCCTTAGGAGACTTAAGGAGAACTCGCAGCTTCAGAAGCGGGGACAAAAGGGCAAAGTGGGATCCTGGAATCCAAAGGATGAGACTTTTCAGAAGGAGAAGATGCTGACAGATCAAAGACCAAATGAAACGAGGATTAAAAAGAGGGGTTTGTATGTGTTACTGCTGACCTCCCAAGAGTACACATTGATGTTGGGACAGACTCCAGACCGCAGCTGAAGAAGGGGACAGGCAGTGAGCTCAGTGGAAAGAGTGAGCTCCGACAACTCTTGCGGAAGGTTCCGGAAGCATGAGCAGAGCGGACTAGGCTACAGGCTATGGGACTTGGGTAGTGAAAGAACTTGTGTTTCCTGAGCCCCACTGTGCCATGCCACATATACATGGACACCGCAGAGCCCCCCACATTTCATCATCACACAAACCCACGAGATGAGCAAAAAAGCATATTCGTGTCACTAATGAATAACATGAGGCTCAAAGAAGTAATTGGGACCCAGGTCTGTTTTCAAAGCTGTCCTTTCCATGACAGTTACATGTCTGGTAGAGTCATGGGAAGATTGGTTGCTATTTTAAGGCGGTGGGGAGAAATAAGTCTTCCTAATCCCACTGCAAGCGCCCTACATCTCATCTCACCTGCTCTCTCTCCTCCCAGGAGCTCTGTCCAGGCCCCAGAACAGAGGAGAGTGGGGTGGGTGAATCAGAACGACCTCAGCCATCTCATCATTCATATGCCTTGTCTGCGAGACAGGTAGAGCTCTAAGAAGAACAAAGCTGGATTTTGTTTATCTAAACATCAATAGCCAGGACTCCAGATCAAGCCTGCACTCTTGCTTCAGCCATTTACCACGTGTTATTCCTATCTCCTTCCCCACAGTCCTTGTAGCATCGACATTATGTGGCTTTGGTCACCTTCTGGCCGACTGAGTCCTGCCCCTCAGCCCCAGGAGCATGATGGGGCTACACAGCCCCCACGGACACACTGCTCCCCTCAAAAAAAGAAGCTTTTCCACAAAAGAAAAATGATCTGGCCCACTCTCTTCCTGAATGACAATACACTCTATGAATATTGCCACATTTTATTTTCTTCCCAATTCCCTTATTCTACTACCCCCTTCACTCCCATTCCATCCGGAGAGGTAGGCCTGGCTGAAATAATAATCCCAGGTGCCAGCTGAGAAAGCCAAATGCAGCTCAGTTAGGAAACATCTCAAAGCCCTAATAACCAAACACTGCAGCTGGGACTTATTTTCCCCTGGCCCCAACCCAGAGCTATTTCCTTCAGCCTTCGAACCTCTGTGCACGTCCACGTTCCCAGCCTGTGGGGGGTTGGGGAGGCCCAGTGTGGGGGGATTTGGTGCCAGGCCCTGTGCAGGCACCTGCACAGAAATGAGTTCATTCAAGTCTCGCTTCCACTCTGCATGAGGTAAAAAAACCATTTTAATCAGGTAAAAATAACCAGTTCTCAACAAGGAAAACCATGTCAGTAAAGTGAAGTGATTGATCTAAATCAGAAATTGAGGTGGTACTTAGAGGGCCAGGCCCAGAGCCAGCTTTGCTGGTCCTGGGTGTGGGGAACCACTCTTGGAACTGGACGTTCTGGAGGGGACTCCACTTTGGTGCACCTCGCCAGGTGTGGATATGCAAAGTGCGCGTCCTGCCTGCCCTTCCCACCCACAAGGCGACTGAGGTTTAAGTGAGATTATGCATTTGAAAGTTGCTTGACTACAGACGTGCAGGGCCTGCGCCCTTTCTAAAGGGCATCAGAGGGAAACAGAGAGGATGAGGCCACTTGTCAGTGAGGCCATCATTTCATCACTCGATGTCCATTCCTGATGATTAAGCAAAGCACTGAGATTCCCACTCTTTGATTCACTAAGTAAATGTACAGGGTGTATCATCACCTTCCTATCACTCTCTGTTCATTCAAAAACTCTTCACTGTTGAGTGACTCTTCCAGGAAATAAGTACAGGGAATGTAAACCGTCTGTACATTCAGAGTCCAGAGGTCTGCCTGGATGATGGGCGTACATGTCTGGAGGCAAGCCCTGGACACTGGGACCTAGAAGATCTGTGTCTCGCCTCTTACCAGCCATTGGATCCCAGGCAAATCAGTTAACCTTCATGGGCCTTTGTTTCTTATCTCTCTCTCTCTCTCTTTTGGAGAAAGAGAGAGCATGAGCAGGGTAGAGGTGCAGAGGGGGAGAGAGAGAGAGAGAGACAGACAGACAGACAGACAGACCGACAGAATCCCAAGCAGGCTCCATGTTCAGCACAGAGCCTGATGCAGAGCCGGAGATCATGACCTGAGCCAACATCAAGAGCCACTCTTAACCGACTGAGCCACACAGGCGCCCCTGTTTTTTATCTCTTAAAGGGAGATCTCTGGGGTCACTGGGCTTCCTTCTCTCCTTTACTGCAGAGAAGATAAAATGTCAGCCTATACTAGAGTGTAGCCCTACCTTGCACCAACTCCGAGTTTTAACCTCAATGGCCTCTCTTACTAGCTGTGTGACTTTGGGCAAATGCCTTTCCCTTTCTGATCAAAGGTTTCTTTCTGTGAAAAATGACAAGGTCTGTTGTGAGAATTAAGCAGCCTACTTCACCATTGGGTGGCCCCATCCTGGCCCACCTTCAAGATAGTTCATTATGGAAGCACAAGAATGTCCTTAGCACACAGCTCTTTGACCTCTCCAGAGTCCTCAGTGCAGACCTAGTCTGCTTGATTACCCAGCCCCTGGTTTTACTGTGAACCCTAATTTCTCCAGCAAAGAAATATCTTGAACTGATCATGAGCAAAGTGGCCTTCTCGGACCAGCAAGCAGGTGGCTGTTCCAGGTCCTTCCTCAGGACTGACCTCCTCCTGCCCAGGGAGGGGGTGGGGAAGGCGGGTTGGAGATGCCTGATGTCACACAGCCCTACATAAGGGCCTCCTTTAGACTCCTGCGGGTGGTTTGGAAGCAGCTGGAGGAATGAATTAGGTCCTGGTTGT